TGTGTGGGCTAGTTATTCATCATCTCCCAACATCTTCTTCACTCTCATTGGCCGCGTGGGCATTGTGAGTGTGCGTAGGCATGAAAAAAAAAAAAACATTCACCTTTTTGTTCCACTTGTCTCGGTAATTTATTCAAGCTTTATTGGGTCGAGTAAGTCACTGACTTTGACATCCTACTTGTCCAGCGGTGGGTTGTGAACCCACGGGAACGATAGGAATAATAACAGGGTCATCACTTTTTTTTTCAACTTTTTCATCTTTCATATTGTGGAGCCGCCATGGCGAATGTATTGCCAATCCTCGGTGGTATGCGATTGTTCGCCTGATGTTTACCCGCGAGCGAGTGGTATGCGACCTTCTGTGACATGCACAGCACGTACTGAGTCAATATCCTGTTGAAAATAAGAGTTAAAGAAGTTTGAGTGTTTCTCTATTATTCCTTCGACTCTCCTCATTCCAGTTGGCGGGTCGGAGTAATGGTGCGGGGTCGGGAATGATCCCATTCAATAGATCCGGAAAAATCTCATGAAATTGAGAAAAAAAACTCCATTTTGCTCCAATAGATCAGGAGAAAATCCTAAATGAAATTTTATAGATCATTTATCGATTTCTAGATCATTTTCAAACTTCTCGATGATCGGGTTCTGTGATGGTAGAAACAGCGGAATTCCATCACCAAATTGAAAAAAAAACTATCCATTTTGCCCCAATAGATTCGAAGAAAATCTCAAAATCGTAATTTCTGTAGATCCTCTATCGATGTTCTAGATCATTTTCATATTTCCTGCTGTATGTCTGATTATAAGAGCACACTGGATAATTCCTTTTGCAGATCAACAGGTGGGAAAATGTCTCATCAAATGATCTAACCCCAGTCGATCACGAGAAAATCTTTATTCAACTTCCATAGATCATTTATCGATCTCTGGATCATTTTACGTTTTCGGCTGTAACTCCCGTTTTATGGGAGCAAAATGAATATTTTTTTTTTCGTTAGAAAGGAAATTTTTCGATCTATCCCGTGGGGTCATTGTAAACCCCCTCTCCCCCTCCGAAAACCCGTAACAAAATTCCCGATGAAATGACAACGGCACAGAATAAATCTCAGTCACGGTCCCAATGATACACGTTTTTTTTCCTCATGACGCATCGCATGAGTACGCAAGCTGTGCAACACCCAACTTATCCCCGTGTCCTACGTATCACCTACGTTACCCCCCCTCCCCCCCCTGCGTATACACACACAATTGTGATCGGAAGAAAAATGAGCTCGCCAGCTGCGAAGGTAAACGAGTGAAAGAGAGACGGGTCCTCCACGCTTCGACTCCCATGCTTTATTTTTTTTTTTTAAACTTCATTTTACACATACGGGAGTAACGGTGCTAGTCGTACGCTCGCCATTGCCTTCAACGCTTTTATGAGCCACATTTGTTCCCCTTCCGCGACTTCCGGAAGTTCTCCCACTAGTCGGGCGGATACTGTAGGCCAAAAATAATGGATTTATTATTGAAAATGGAGGGGTTACGTCATCTTACATGAATGAAACCACAATTCCATGATTTTTCCTCTATGAATCAGCGGTTTTTCTCTCAATGAAATCAATTTTCTGTGAATGGACGGGAGAATTGGTTCCAGTTTGCTCCAGGGATTTAAAAAAAAAAGGGAGAAGAGATTCTTTTGTTTTTTAGACGAGAGATCTCTCCATTATTTCATCGATCGTCTTCCCCCAGTTGGTGGATCGAAATTATGATGTGGGGTCGGAAATGACCCCATTCGATTTTGATAAATGTTCATAGAATTTTTATGAAAAATAAGAGTTTTTTCATGCTTTTTTGGATGAAAGAACGAGTGAAAGAATTTTTCCTTCGAAAAAATTTTTGTGGGATTTTTCGAAATTTTCAAACCTAAAGGATTGAACTCAATGAATGAATGTTTGAAGGTAAAAATGAGTTCTCACGGTATTGCGGTCATGAAAACTGTGGAAAATTGGGGCCACCTAACCACGCTTCATCAGTCGAGAAATCGTCCCCCTCAAGTGCAGTGGGGAAACAAGGCCATGGGCTCACAGAGCACTCCCTCGATTATTGATGCTGCACTCATTCTTTCCTCTTCCATCGCTGAAAACAACTTTTCATCTAGGTATTAAATTTCGGAAAAAATGAGAATATTTCCTCTGAGAAAGAGAAAATTAATTCTGTCAATACAATTTATTTCAATGACGAATTTATAGTGACATATTTTGTGGGGAAATTTCAAGCATTTGCTCGTCTGAAATGGATTTTATTGGCAGAATGAATTATTTCTCAGTGCTAAATGTTGCGTTGAAAATATTTTTGATGATTCTCTCCCTCATTCCATCATTGTCATTCAATTTCAATTTTTTTCAAAGCAATACAGAAAAAGACGTGAACCCTAAAAAAAATAGGTATTATTTTTCGCAGAGGATTTTTATCACAGGTAGTCTCTCCCTCGCTCCTAAATATCCCTAACCATTTTTCCTCATTTATTTTTCAATCCCAAGACGACATTTTCTCATTGTCTGGAGGATAATTGAGTCTGATGCGTCTCTCTGCCCCCTGTCCACCTCTCCCCGATTCCATTGTACTCCATTGGATTTATTTTGCGCACACTCAGTGCTGATCCTCCTTCTCCACCACTCCACCATGATCGACGACATTTCGTATTACTACTTGATGCTCGTCTACGGCCGTTTGAACAATTACACCGAGTGACTTGCATTGAAATTTCCCCAATTAAATTCTCAAATCCCCTTCATTATCGATCCCCGAAGGAACCACTCGACCGGACTGATTAAACTCAACTCCACTGGAAAGATCGGGAAACTCGGCGTCAACTCCAAGTAGATAAGAACAACGATTCACCCCATGACTTTCCGAAATCATCAAAAGACGATAGGTTCTGCTCATTTTTGTTGTGAAATCATCTCAGCATTCATCAGTTTGATTGCTCAGTAATTTTTGGAAAATTACTTGATGCATGAACTTCATGAATATATCTCATTCTGCCTGAAGCTCTGTATCAAAATTGAAACCAAAAAAAAAATCTCGTTAACTGCACTTGTCTCCCTCTCCACCACTCCTCACCACTTGACAAAAAAATTCCCGGCCTCCCCATCGGGAAATGATGAACGGTAACAGCGGCCCACCATATAGCCCAGCCCCTCTCTCAAACCCCCGCTGAAAAGCACCGTAACATTCACTTGATCCTCACCATAACGATTTTCCCCCCTCGCTGGTACAACCGGAGACGGCGAAATATCGTCAATTACGGTAAAAATTCTCTCTCAAAATATTGAGCGAAATGAGACAATTACTCACGTGAAATTAAATTCTAAACGTTAATGTCGAATGCATCGTTACTCAAATTAAATACATGAAAGAGTGTCTCAGGGAGGAGTGGAAAATAAATGCTACCAGAGGTTGCCGAACTGACGGCACTGGGTATTAAGCTCACATAAGGGATGTCGTAACGGAGGGGCTGTGTTACCATGGTTACTGTTGGTAGCAGGCGGCAGAGGGCGGGGGTGGGGGAGTACTTTGTTTTCTGTCTCCAATTACCTGTGCCGGGTTGACAACCCAATGGCTATACAGCCAAAACCTTGGACAACTGGTAAATGTCATTTCTGGGTGCAGTCAACTCGATCTTGTTGGGTGACAACAATCTGGGGATACTACTGTAATATCTACATTTCCACTGCAAATACCCGGAATAACGGGATCATATGAATTCCATTGGAGAGCTGAGGAAATTTCTCATCAGATTATTAAAAAATCATCCATTTTGGGGCAGTAGTTTAGGAAAAAATCCTAAATCAATTTTCATAGATCATTTAACGATTTTTACATGGCTTTTCACGGTAGGTTAGGGTCTATGGGGCAAAATGGGGTGGAATTAATTGTACAGGGAAGGCCGAAAAATTTACCATCAAATTAAAAAAAAAATCGTCCGTTTTGGTTCAGTAGTTTGGGAGAAAATCGTAAATCAATTGTTATAGATCATCTATCGATCGCTAGATCATTTACATTTTCCACTGTAACTCGGCTTCTATGGGAGCAAAATGGACGATTTTTTTTTTCATTCCACCTGATTTCTTCCGATCTATCGAATGGGACCACTATGAACACCCCACTCCCACCCCTTCCTCCGATAACTCCTGCAAAATTGAGGTTTATCCAAGTTATGTTGGTTTGGGGGGGATTTTTTTTTCTTGTGTGCCAATTACTCCTCGTTAACGTGGGCCATCGGCATGCACAACTCAAGTGCACCCGTCAAGTAATCGACAAGCCATTCCCCACCGGTAAATTCAAACCCCTGCATCAGGAACTTATCGGGTATCGATTTCCCTCCCCGATATAGCGACAAACGAGAGTGCAACCACTATCCAACAAACATGTATATACAAGTATTTGCCCCGACATAGGACTCCAGAGGTTGGATTTAATACCCTAAAAGCCGTTCGATGTTTCAATGAAAAATTACTACTGCGCGCACAACAACTTTCAATTTTTTTTTGTCCCCCGTGATTTTAACGTTTTTTTTTTTTGTTGGACATTCATTGTTCGGGGAGGAGTCGACATTATTTTACAGTGATTTTTTATGGGGGGATTGAGCTGTGGGCGGGGCTGAAATTCAATTCCTCGGGTTAGAGGAATGAATTTATCACGGGCAACCGATTATTACTTCATTCTCACAATTATTGACATTCTATTTCATTCATGTTGAGACGCTTTATCTTGAAATCTAGGCGATAAGGAGAGAATGCCGTTACATAATTATTGCGATAAGATAAAATCACATGTTGGCACATTCCATTAGCTGAAGTTACCAAAAAATACATTGTCAATTTTTTTCTTCAATTTTATTTCTTGCAAAAAATGAAAAAAAAAAATGAAAAATCATCCGAAATACCTTGAAATCTGTTTTCCCCTGGAATTGATTTTTCGATCGATTTTCATTAATTGAATTTTTTTTATTTCAGCAAAAAAACAAAATGGCGCAGCCCTCCGAACAAATAGCCTGGGTTCAGGGGCCCGTACACCACCTTTGGAAAGAAAAAGTAAATTCTCAGCATTCGGTAGATTATTCAAGCCCTGGAAGTGGAAACGAAAAAAGAAATCGGATAAATTCGAGGCTGCTTCTAGATGTGAGTGATATATCTCTCTAATTACATCCAAAAATCCTGAAATTCTCGCGTTAAATTAAATTCTCACACCCCAAGTGTGAGTTGAACTTAAAACTTTGAACGTCATTAAAAGCAAAAAAAAAATTCAATTATCAAAATTCAATAATTTCAGCGTTGGAGAGAAAAATTTCTGTCAGAGCGAATCGAGAAGAGCTCGTGCAGAAGGGAATCCTACTGCCAGACAGTCCGACCTCACCAATACCGGAAGAGGGTAAGTAAATTTCCTACTTTACCGGCTGATGATAAAAGGGATTTACTCCAAATTTTTTAAACTTACCATCGACTTTTCACAATATATGAGAAAATGGGGTCGATAATAACCCCAGTGGATAGTCGGGACAATTTCCGCTTCCAAATACTGGTCATAAACCCATTTGCCCCATTATTTTTGGAGTTATAAAAAACGACAAATTGCTGAAAAAAATTTTTTTTTTGTTTACGGAAGAATGGATGGGGCAAAATGGTTCTATGATCAGGTTTGGTAGGGACAATTCCCCTGACCGCATGATGAAGCTGTTTAAAGTTCACAAGTTCCTCTTTTGAGTGATAATTAATGAATTATGGAATTAATTTTTTTAATGGAAACTCACGATAGCATGAACTTACGATGCGATGAGAAACTTAAAGGAAGGTTGGGGGAATTAATTGACGTGAGAGACCACTGGGACACTCTAGATCCTTTATCCGCACTTGATGATTCTGCGCTTGCGCAGGGTGTGAAAATCCCCGGGTTTACCACCGTGAATTCACATTTTTTTCTATTTACCCTGGTGAATATAAATTCAATCGTGATGAAGAGCCGGTGATATTTTTTCAGTAGAGATGGGAGGGATTTTGCGGGGTCAGTGGAGCACGATTGCACTGTCAGATCAGGAGACATATCTCACCCAACATTTCCCATATTTTATCAATTTTTTTGTTGTTTAGAATGACAGGGGAGATAAATTCTACAGATCGAATGGGAGAATTTAATTGAGTTGGGGATGAAAAGCTATTGGCGTCAGCGAAATACAGAGGAAATGGTGACGATTAATTAGACTTATTCATCAATTTGTCCATCTCAAGCTCAAAGTTCTTTAATTTTGCTCATTACTCTGTATTTAAACTACCTTTGAACTCCACCTAAACCATTATTTACTCATCCTTTGGATTAATGTCAGGAGAGTTCAACTTTCTCGCTGTTTCCGTGAGTCGAAATGGGGTTAACACACACGGGAAATATTCACCCAACTGGACATTCAAAATTCAGACACTGCTTGTAACAAGGGTGAAGTGCATGAGGAGGTGGAGAGGGATTATATGTCTGAGTTTATCGGCGGTTTGACTAATGAGGACCATGTGGGTGCACACTGCATCATAGCAGAGGTTAAATTCTGCATTCTCATCGAATAACAAAATACGATAATCTTAGGTCCACTTGATGGGGTCGAAATGACCCCATCGGATAGATTAACAAATTTAGCGTCAAAGGAAAAAAAATATCCATTTTAGTCCAGGGGTTCGCGGGAGAAAATGCTCAAGCGATTTTTATAGATCATTCATCGATTTCTAGATCATTTACAATTTGTTTCATTGGAAGGAAGGAATGATTCATTTTTCATGCGATAGATCAGGAGATGTACTGTGAAATTACAGAAAATACCATCCATTTTGTCCCAGTAGAACCCGCAAAAATCCTATATCAATGTTCATAGATCATTTATCGACCCCCAGATCACTTCCACATTTTTAGCTGTAACTCGGGTTCTATAGGAGCAAATCGGACAATTTTTTTTCCAATCTATTGGAAAATTTTTGAGCTTTCCAATGGGTTTACTATCGACCCCCCGTCCCCACCCCTTCCTCCAAAAAATCCCATTTGAATGAAAAAACTGATGGAAAAAAATGTTTTTTTTTTTTGAAGGTCCGACGAACGATACGTACAATCAGAAGCCACCGACCCCCCAGCAACATCATCACCAATCATCAACGATACCTGGCACTCAATTTACCAATGCACCACACAGCCAACAACACCAACAACAAAATACCATACTGTCCAACTCAACGACTGTCAATTCTCACTCGTCGTGTACTGGATCGAATAGTAATCAAGCATCAACGCATCCCTCAACCCTCTATCCAGGTGTACCATCAGCTAATCAGGTGAACGGCAGCACGCAAGGTAAGAAACATGGAAAAATATTTTCGCTAACTCGCTATCCACCTCTTTAACGAGTCGAAAAGTCCCTGTTGGACATGAACTCTTGTACTCTTGTGCTTTTGCATAATCGATCCACGAAGTTTCACAGAAAAATAAGTCGTGAGGGCATCTTATCAGTGGGAGCGATCCGAGTGGCAAGCGTTCCTTAATAACAGGATCTCGGATACATTAACTCTTTAGAGAGGAAAAATTTCGGGAGAACCGAAGTTCCGAGGTTGAAAATGACTCCATTGGATACTAATAGTAGGAAAAATCGAACAGTGAAAAACAGAACAGTGTGAGGTGTGCGGACATGACGAATGAAACTTCAAACGTTGATTTTGAGCAATTTTGGTTTCTTTGAAAGGGGAGATTTAGAATCCATTTCGTACTTTATTTCACCCTTTGCCATTTAATTCAATAAAAATTCGATGCGACTGGTGAAACAATCCCGAGGGTATGACACGGGTTTCACAATAAGTGTAAAACCAAAGCCATAGAAACGTTATTTTTGCATCCATTGAGAGGGGTAGATTTGGATTTCTAACAAAAGGTTGGTTGAAGGTGGAATTCAGTGCGCCCCAGACATGACCAGACAAAAACCCCAGTTGCAGTTCTCTGTTGTGCTACCGTTGAGGTACGATCGATACACCCACCTCTTGGTGAAAAGGTGTATAGTCCTTAAAGTTTAGCCCCTCTTCCCCCCCCCCCCCCCCCCCCCCCCCC